CCTTCCTTCCTCCCCCCTCCCTCTCTCCCTCCCTCCCAGTAAACATTAATTTCTAAAATGTGAACCCAACATGGATCAACAGGAACTCTTGGATCCTTTGTTAAATTGTGTATTAAACTTTTTTACCTAAATATCAGTTTTTCTTCTTCCTTTGTCCTCTGTAGCTCTACTTCCTGTTGTATGTCTTTCTTTGCGTTGCTTCCTCCCTTTAATTGGTCAGATGGTTTCTCCATGTTGGGTTTTATGTTCAGAACTAAAAGCTCTGCATGTTTCATGACTTATTGAGCTGCTTGGCGCCGACCCAAACCCACATTTGTTTCTGATTTTGGAGTAATGAGTGCATTGAAATGATGATCTATATGTCCTGCCTTCTGCTATATTAATCACTGCAGATGAACAGAAGTTTTTACGTTTCATCGGATCGTCGGTACCGCTCACCATCTGCCTGTTTAATAATTTACTCTACCTCTATAACTTTAACGGCTTTTTCAGAACTTTGCGGTAAATTTGAGGCCAACATCTGGACTCGGATAAAGCTTCCAACAGCTCAGAAATCTGTTTATGTCTTCGTTAAATCTATTTCTGATGCTGCTGAATAGACGGCAAACTAAATATATATTTATGACATAAAAACCTGCAAAAACTTTATTTAAATGAGAGCTACAACTAAAGATTATTTTTGTTAGTGATTAATCAAATATTCTGGCAATTATTTGATTAATCAGAATATTGAAAAGTGGCACATTTTACAGATTTTTGTTTAAGTCTGTTTATACAATATTACAAATGCATCAAAATATGTTATTTCCTAAAATGCAACAACATAGCATTCCTTGAGTTTATACTTTATCATTTGTACAAATTATGCAATTTCTTTTCACCATAAATATGAAATGTATATATTTTTGTCCAATTTTATATTAATTACTGCTCTGACTGTGTTGTTTTCAGTAAATATCCCTTTTTTGAGTCTGTTTACTCCAGTTAATGATTAATCGATAACTAAATTAGTTGACGGTTATTTCAACAATCAATTAATCATGATTTTTCTGATTAATCGTTTCATCTCTAATTGAAATGTGTTTTTTTTTTTTTGTTTCTTCCAGGAAGTATAAAAGGTGCAACAATAGTGGACGCTCTGGATACGCTCTACATCATGGAAATGTTTGAGGAGTTTGAAACTGCCACAGATTGGGTGGAGAAAAACCTGGACTTCAATGTGGTAAGTTAATAAAATAACAACTAATCAATAATCAAAGAGTTTCATATTTACTTTCAAAAACATAAAAAAGTGCTGTGGTTTAGTAGAACATTAAATAATTCAAGTGCTTTTCTTTTTAAAGAACAAAAAACTTTGAATTCTGAAGCTTTTTCATTGTTTCTAAAGAAATATCTGCTTTGGTTTATTAAATTAAACATTCTGATCAAGAGTTATCATGTTTCTGATGAAACTCTGGCTTAAAATGGTCAAAACAACACATACATTTAGTTCTCCTTCATTTCTCCTTATTGTTGTCAATAAAATCCTAATCAAATCATCATAAGAGGATCTTTAAAAGTTAAAACCTCCAGCAATAAATCTGAGTTTTCTTTATGCTACTGAAAAAGGAGTTAGTTAAAGTTTCTTTAGGTGAAATAGGACTGTATATTTTTTACTCTGTGTTGACTAATGAGCTCAGCAGCTTGTGTTCCTGAAGATATGAACGTCGGTACAGCGCAGGCAATTTGCCCTCTTCTCCTTTGATGTTTCCCTTTATTCTCGAGCCATCCTCATTATGATTAAGAGCCTCTCATTAAGAGGAGGCAGAAAACCATTTTAGCTTTGCTTTAGCGTAGTTATGACTGTCTGTGGATCGGTGTCGTAACCAGATTCATCTAAACCAACCAAATATAACTGAAAAATCAGCTGTAACAGCCACAACTGACAGGGAATCAGCCCGTCTTTGTTTAGTCTTCCATCTAAAGAAAAAGTGTTCATGCTCTGAATGCGAGACGTTTTTCTTCATGTCCTTGTAAAATGAAGCCACATCTCTTATTTTATTATTTTTTATTTTTTTTTTTGCTGTTGCTGCTCTTTTGCATAATCCTTCCTGATTCCAGTGTGTGGCAGTTGTTGGCCTGTCAGTCAAGCTGGATTATATCAGCAGAGAGCCAATTGTTTCCTGGCGTAAACTCCTTATTTCCTGCAGGAGTAGAAAAACCCAGAGAAGTACGGCTCACGACAGTTTGTAGAGACAATTTAGAGGATCCAGCATGCTACTAGTTCCTGGAGGATAGAGAGGATTGTGAATATGAGAACTGGGATATGACAATGTTGTTAATGACTTAGTTATGCCGTGTCTACACTACTAGATACTTTAAAAACACTTGTATTTAGAGCTGAATGTAACAATTATTGCTATCATTCAAGCGATTAATCGATTAACCATACGATTAATCGGATAAAACATTTGCTCATTCCACCTAAGCTTAGTATAATATTAGGAATACATTAAAAATACAAATAAACAATTTATTTTTGAAACAAGAAACTAAGTATGTAATGAAGTTAAATACCGCCAAATTCATTTAGTAAATTTGATCCAGGTGAAGTTAAAATTATGCTACTTAAGATTTAGCTAAAACATATTTACAGACAAATATGTTATACATGTTACATATATTTTTTGTAAAGGTTTGAGCTAATTACTGCTCTGCATATGTTTTATTGATTATTCAGAAGATGAATCGATTAATCGGATTAATAATTTGCTCATGCTGCAGATTTTTCATTTGGTGTTTAAGATCATTTTAACACAATATTAGAAATAAGTAAGTAAATTCCTTTTCTAAATAAGAAAATAAACTTTTTATAACCAAAAAGGCAATAACAAAGCATTGCCTAATAGATTTTATTTTATTTTTTACAGAAATTGGACCAGGGCTTGAACTATGTCACTTGAGGAGTTCTGGGAGGGTTTATGTTTGATGCAAAAAGCTTTTTTTTATACAGTTTTGCATTAAATACTGCCCTGTAATTAGCTAATTATCTTTTTTTGCCTGTACACTCCATTTAACAATTAGTTGTTTACAAACTTAGTTGACTGATAATCGATTAATCACAATTAATTTGATTAATTTTTTCTGCCCTGCTCGTATTTATTTACAGAATTTGAAACAGGTTAAGCTGGAACATATTTACAGAGAAAGAAGTTGCTTTTTTATCTTAAGTGTATATATTTTTGTACAGTTTTGAGTCTTTATACTCTGGTTGACGATTAATCGATTACTTAATTAGTTGACGATTATTTCAAGTAATCGATTCATCTTCACTAACCGCTTGTATTTATGCAATATTCATTCAATTCAGAAATACTTTAACATTAAAATATCATCAAAGAGTCTTGGTGGCATGTTAACTTTTAAATATATCACATTGCATCTCCTGGATGACACCATCACTTGTTGGCAAGCTCTGCTAATCCACTTCATTTGTTTTTGCCGCTCTTCTTTAAACCACCAACAGGCATATTTTGATTATTTCTCCAGTCGTAGCCTCTCAAAATGCTCCCAAGTTTCTCTTTTTGACGTTTTAATAGAGCAGATGCCTGGTGATGATAGGCATCCCTTCTGCTCCAAAGATCTTTAGGTGGATCATTAACTCATTGGCTTTTGCTGAAGTCCTTCAAATCGTTTTCAGCTAGGAAATGGCCACGCTTAGTCAGTTTCCTGCATGCTCTGTAATGGCCTAAATGTTGCAACATCAGGAGACTTGATTCTGAGCTTGCCAACCTTTTTTCAGGAGGGAGATAGTGTCATACAAATGCTGACTCACAGGGTCATTGCCCAACAGTTTAAAGCTGTAATAAATGCTGAAGTCCAGCACATGAATAAATCACTGCTGTAAATGGGAAGAAATAATCATCCTGAGTTGGCAAAATTAAAGAATCCAAAAATAGTTATTCGGTTTTAGTTTTGAATGAATTAAAGAGAAAGGAGAATGAGTATGAGAAAGTTTGAATATGTTTTTCTTTTTTTTCTTACTATCTGAAGTTAAATCAGACCAAACTTCTCTTGTTTTTGATCAGTTAAAATTACCAAAATTATTTCTATTTGCTAAACAACAATAAAAGGGAAAAAATGACAGATTTATTTAATAATGTGGTCAAAATCAGAAGTTTTGACCACATTTCCTCAGTTATTGGTAGGATTGCCGTCTTCTCATAGTTTGCTGGAGTTCTGCTCCATTCCTCTCGACAGAACAGGTGTACAAATTCTCTACAAGATTGATATCATGCCCAATTATAAATTTTGTTGTCCTTGAACTGTTAACTGTTAGGTTTGGGGTAAAACCATTCTGAGCTGATGTTACAAGCATCCCAGTTTGTCCTCCAGATGCAATGATGGTTATTATGTCCAAACAGTTACACTTTAGTTTTGTCCAACCGAATGACATGTCTCCAAAAATGAAGGTATTTGTCATTGTGTGCATCTGCAAACTGAAATCTGGCTTTTAGGTTTCTTTTGGCTTCTTCCTCGCTGAGCGGGACTCCAGCCCAAGTCTGTATAGGACAGGTTTCTTTCATTCTTACCAGCTTCAGCAGCATCTTCACAAAGTCTTTGGCTTTTATTTTGAGGTCAGTTTGAACGTTTTGCTCCAGAAACCCAACATTATGATGGCTGGACATTCCCATTATGTCTATACTTGTCGAAAAAAATTACATTTTGTAATTGCAGTGTTTCCATAAAAGAAGAAACACAATTGAATTCACAAGTGAATAAATTTGTTCATGCAATAAGTCATTAAAAAACTTAGCGCACCGTCATCCTCCAACTAGTTCCTGTTGTCTCTTTGTGTTTTGCGACAGTGGCAACATCCTGTTGTTGATCATGTGACCTGTGTGATGCAAAAAAAGTGTTTCCATTGCAGTTTTGCTAAATAAAAAAATTGGCCAAAATCCTCTTCATATCCTTGTGCCAAAACGTTTTATCAACAAAACTATTTTGTTTTTGTTTTTTTACAAAATTGCCATTTTCCATTAAGCAAATTTATTTTCAAAATGTCAAATTGGGCTGGAAACATCTACAGATCAATCTCTGACATATTCTTGCTCTAATTATTTCAGAATTTAGTAAATCTAAATAATTTTGGTAATTGTAAATGTGCTAAAACAAGAGAAGTTTGGTTTTGTTTTTAACTTCAGGTAGTGAGGAAAAAAAGATGCATTTATTCTGTGTATGTAAACTTCTGGTTCCATCTGTGAGTTTAAATCAGCAGAAATTAACCAAACTGTCAGCCGCGTCATTCAGCGGTTCCGGCTTTCAGAAAAATGACTGGAGATATTTTCCATTTGTTTTTCCCACAGGACAACCTATTGTCGTATCTCAGTTTGGCAGCAGCGGCTTATGAGAGCTGTCAGTCAAGCTCAACATCTTCATCTGACTCAGGAATCTGTTCAGAAAAACTCAATTTTCTGCCGCAGTGACAAATACTATGACAACTGTTATTTTGGGATGCACTATTATTGTCTAGAAAGATGGGCATTGTTATTTTGTAGATATTGTTCACTTAATCTCTGTCATTTTGAGCAGCTGAAGAGTTGGAGGATGTATTAGTGCTGTTTAACACATGGCAATAAATTTACCATGGCACAATCTCTTTTTTTTCTTAAAAATAATCTGCAGATTATAGTAGGAAGCAGAGGATTCTTGTTTATCCTTATTAAGAAAAGACGTTAAAACTGAGTTTTTACTTGAAACAGACAAGAATAATGGAGTTGGCATTTTAAACTATCTTTAGCCTCTTATGTTATGAAGTATCCTACCACTCTGACTGATTGTAGAGGAAAGTGCTTTGGAGTCCTCTGAACTTGATGAAGTGCTACACAAGCACAGGCTCTTACCATTTAATGTGGTTTTTATATCTCTCTAAAACGATTAATCGGATTAATTGCGATTAATTGATTTATAAAATAATTTAGTAATCAATTAATTGTTAACTGGAGTCAATAAAGGCCATTTGCTGAAAGAATAACATACTCAGAGCAGTAATAAAGCCAAAACTGTTCAAAACAATTTTTCATTTAAGATGAAAAATCAACTTTATCTGTAAATAAGTTCTATCCAGAGCTCCACAAGTGGCATTTTTAGTTTCACCTGATTCAGATTACATATAAAAACAATACTAGTAAACACTTTTTGCTGTCCGGTTATTAAATTATCAACAAATTTGTATACAGTATTTTTTTTTTTTTAGCTGCAGATGCATCAAGCTTAAAGAAATGCTGTTATTACATTTCAGGCAATAAGAGTTTTATTATTAATTTTAAAAAGTAATTGAATAGGCTAACTCCTTCCAGCCAGAAATAATAAACATTTCCCAGAATCCCATGTTCATCAGAGAGTCAGAAGTTATTCCCTCCACTTTGACTCGTTTTCCGGGACGCCCCTGGGAGCGATGTTCAGAAACTAACAGTCCAGGGTAGCGGTGTTGGTTGTGGCAGCAAGAAATCAGCTGTCTTGTTTAATTTGTGCCTGCTTTTAAAAATCAGCAGAGCTGTGATTTATTGTTGCATTTAAGCCGTTTCAGAAGCAGCAGCCATGCCAGCAGCTCTGTAAAGTCGATCAGTGCAACAATATAAACCAACCCTCTCCCTGGCAGAGCTGGAGTTCCCTTTTGGTTTTGGTTCAGATGATGAAACAAAGTTGGGGGATATATTATGACCTTTAGTTTTGGGCTAACAAGTTTACATGACAGTCACTATAACTAGCAGGAATATAAGTTTTCTGCATCATATGCGTTTGTTTTTCTTTTCTTTGGTGCAGAATGCAGAAGTTTCTGTGTTTGAGGTGAACATCAGGTTTGTTGGAGGTCTGCTGTCTGCCTACTACCTGTCTGGGAAAGAGGTAAGGAGATTCATTCACTGTTTTTCATGCTGTTTCTGCACTGCAAAAACACTAAATCTTACCAAGTATGTTTGGTCTAGTTTCTGGGGCAAATATCTTAGTTTTATCTTATTTCAAATGTACTCACTTACAAATAACATTTAGGCAAGATATAGGAGCTTGTTTTAAGTAAAAAATTATTTAATATTGATTTTAAAAAAAGTGCTGTTGCATTGACATGTTATAAATGAAATAATCTGCCAGTGGAACTCAAACTGGGTTGCTAGGTGACGTGCTGGGCTTGGCTGGCGTTGCTAGGTGACGTGCTGGGCTTGGCTGGCGTTGCTAGGTGACGGGCTGGGCTTGGCTGGCGTTGCTAGGTGACGGGCTGGGCTTGGCTGGCGTTGCTAGGTAACGGTGCCAGCAGAAGTAATACTTTTCCATCAATTTTAAAGAATTACTTACTTAAAACAAGCTCCTATCTTGCTGATAATAATAAGTGAGTTATTTTTGCCTTATTTTAAGTGTCGTGAGATATTTGCAGTAGAAATTAGATCACAGATGCTTGGTATTTTTTGGAAGTTGGGATGTTCCTTTGGCCTTTAGAGGTAAAACATTTCCTGGAATGTAAGATTGCTGATGGAATATTTCACCAGAGTCACTTTATATCCCAACTAATTCAGGTTTTGAGTCTAGAGAGAGATTCTTTCAGTGAATTTCATGTGAAAGACTTTACTATGTTGCTATGAGATTTTTACCTGCAGTGCTGAGTCAGTGTGGGAATTAGGTGGTAATTTTTCCTAATATGAGTAATTATATGATTCAACAGACTCCCTAACTGCCTGAAAACCTCTGGGAGGAAAAGTCTCCAAATTTCACTTTAGAACGAGGCCATTTGATGGNTTATGCCGTGTCTACACTACTAGATACTTTAAAAACACTTGTATTTAGAGCTGAATGTAACAATTATTGCTATCATTCAAGCGATTAATCGATTAACCATACGATTAATCGGATAAAACATTTGCTCATTCCACCTAAGCTTAGTATAATATTAGGAATACATTAAAAATACAAATAAACAATTTATTTTTGAAACAAGAAACTAAGTATGTAATTAAGTAAAATAACGCCACATTCATTTAGTAAATTTGAACCAGGTGAAGTTAAAATTATGCTACTTAAGATTTAGCTAAAACATATTTACAGACAAATATGTTATACATGTTACATATATTTTTTGTAAAGGTTTGAGCTAATTACTGCTCTGCATATGTTTTATTGATTATTCAGAAGATGAATCGATTAATCGGATTAATAATTTGCTCATGCTGCAGATTTTTCATTTGGTGTTTAAGATCATTTTAACACAATATTAGAAATAAGTAAGTAAATTCCTTTTCTAAATAAGAAAATAAACTTTTTATAACCAAAAAGGCAATAACAAAGCATTGCCTAATAGATTTTATTTTATTTTTTACAGAAATTGGACCAGGGCTTGAACTATGTCACTTGAGGAGTTCTGGGAGGGTTTATGTTTGATGCAAAAAGCTTTTTTTTATACAGTTTTGCATTAAATACTGCCCTGTAATTAGCTAATTATCTTTTTTTGCCTGTACACTCCATTTAACAATTAGTTGTTTACAAACTTAGTTGACTGATAATCGATTAATCACAATTAATTTGATTAATTTTTTCTGCCCTGCTCGTATTTATTTACAGAATTTGAAACAGGTTAAGCTGGAACATATTTACAGAGAAAGAAGTTGCTTTTTTATCTTAAGTGTATATATTTTTGTACAGTTTTGAGTCTTTATACTCTGGTTGACGATTAATCGATTACTTAATTAGTTGACGATTATTTCAAGTAATCGATTCATCTTCACTAACCGCTTGTATTTATGCAATATTCATTCAATTCAGAAATACTTTAACATTAAAATATCATCAAAGAGTCTTGGTGGCATGTTAACTTTTAAATATATCACATTGCATCTCCTGGATGACACCATCACTTGTTGGCAAGCTCTGCTAATCCACTTCATTTGTTTTTGCCGCTCTTCTTTAAACCACCAACAGGCATATTTTGATTATTTCTCCAGTCGTAGCCTCTCAAAATGCTCCCAAGTTTCTCTTTTTGACGTTTTAATAGAGCAGATGCCTGGTGATGATAGGCATCCCTTCTGCTCCAAAGATCTTTAGGTGGATCATTAACTCATTGGCTTTTGCTGAAGTCCTTCAAATCGTTTTCAGCTAGGAAATGGCCACGCTTAGTCAGTTTCCTGCATGCTCTGTAATGGCCTAAATGTTGCAACATCAGGAGACTTGATTCTGAGCTTGCCAACCTTTTTTCAGGAGGGAGATAGTGTCATACAAATGCTGACTCACAGGGTCATTGCCCAACAGTTTAAAGCTGTAATAAATGCTGAAGTCCAGCACATGAATAAATCACTGCTGTAAATGGGAAGAAATAATCATCCTGAGTTGGCAAAATTAAAGAATCCAAAAATAGTTATTCGGTTTTAGTTTTGAATGAATTAAAGAGAAAGGAGAATGAGTATGAGAAAGTTTGAATATGTTTTTCTTTTTTTTCTTACTATCTGAAGTTAAATCAGACCAAACTTCTCTTGTTTTTGATCAGTTAAAATTACCAAAATTATTTCTATTTGCTAAACAACAATAAAAGGGAAAAAATGACAGATTTATTTAATAATGTGGTCAAAATCAGAAGTTTTGACCACATTTCCTCAGTTATTGGTAGGATTGCCGTCTTCTCATAGTTTGCTGGAGTTCTGCTCCATTCCTCTCGACAGAACAGGTGTACAAATTCTCTACAAGATTGATATCATGCCCAATTATAAATTTTGTTGTCCTTGAACTGTTAACTGTTAGGTTTGGGGTAAAACCATTCTGAGCTGATGTTACAAGCATCCCAGTTTGTCCTCCAGATGCAATGATGGTTATTATGTCCAAACAGTTACACTTTAGTTTTGTCCAACCGAATGACATGTCTCCAAAAATGAAGGTATTTGTCATTGTGTGCATCTGCAAACTGAAATCTGGCTTTTAGGTTTCTTTTGGCTTCTTCCTCGCTGAGCGGGACTCCAGCCCAAGTCTGTATAGGACAGGTTTCTTTCATTCTTACCAGCTTCAGCAGCATCTTCACAAAGTCTTTGGCTTTTATTTTGAGGTCAGTTTGAACGTTTTGCTCCAGAAACCCAACATTATGATGGCTGGACATTCCCATTATGTCTATACTTGTCGAAAAAAATTACATTTTGTAATTGCAGTGTTTCCATAAAAGAAGAAACACAATTGAAATCACAAGTGAATAAATTTGTTCATGCAATAAGTCATTAAAAAACTTAGCGCACCGTCATCCTCCAACTAGTTCCTGTTGTCTCTTTGTGTTTTGCGACAGTGGCAACATCCTGTTGTTGATCATGTGACCTGTGTGATGCAAAAAAAGTGTTTCCATTGCAGTTTTGCTAAATAAAAAAATTGGCCAAAATCCTCTTCATATCCTTGTGCCAAAACGTTTTATCAACAAAACTATTTTGTTTTTGTTTTTTTACAAAATTGCCATTTTCCATTAAGCAAATTTATTTTCAAAATGTCAAATTGGGCTGGAAACATCTACAGATCAATCTCTGACATATTCTTGCTCTAATTATTTCAGAATTTAGTAAATCTAAATAATTTTGGTAATTGTAAATGTGCTAAAACAAGAGAAGTTTGGTTTTGTTTTTAACTTCAGGTAGTGAGGAAAAAAAGATGCATTTATTCTGTGTATGTAAACTTCTGGTTCCATCTGTGAGTTTAAATCAGCAGAAATTAACCAAACTGTCAGCCGCGTCATTCAGCGGTTCCGGCTTTCAGAAAAATGACTGGAGATATTTTCCATTTGTTTTTCCCACAGGACAACCTATTGTCGTATCTCAGTTTGGCAGCAGCGGCTTATGAGAGCTGTCAGTCAAGCTCAACATCTTCATCTGACTCAGGAATCTGTTCAGAAAAACTCAATTTTCTGCCGCAGTGACAAATACTATGACAACTGTTATTTTGGGATGCACTATTATTGTCTAGAAAGATGGGCATTGTTATTTTGTAGATATTGTTCACTTAATCTCTGTCATTTTGAGCAGCTGAAGAGTTGGAGGATGTATTAGTGCTGTTTAACACATGGCAATAAATTTACCATGGCACAATCTCTTTTTTTTCTTAAAAATAATCTGCAGATTATAGTAGGAAGCAGAGGATTCTTGTTTATCCTTATTAAGAAAAGACGTTAAAACTGAGTTTTTACTTGAAACAGACAAGAATAATGGAGTTGGCATTTTAAACTATCTTTAGCCTCTTATGTTATGAAGTATCCTACCACTCTGACTGATTGTAGAGGAAAGTGCTTTGGAGTCCTCTGAACTTGATGAAGTGCTACACAAGCACAGGCTCTTACCATTTAATGTGGTTTTTATATCTCTCTAAAACGATTAATCGGATTAATTGCGATTAATTGATTTATAAAATAATTTAGTAATCAATTAATTGTTAACTGGAGTCAATAAAGGCCATTTGCTGAAAGAATAACATACTCAGAGCAGTAATAAAGCCAAAACTGTTCAAAACAATTTTTCATTTAAGATGAAAAATCAACTTTATCTGTAAATAAGTTCTATCCAGAGCTCCACAAGTGGCATTTTTAGTTTCACCTGATTCAGATTACATATAAAAACAATACTAGTAAACACTTTTTGCTGTCCGGTTATTAAATTATCAACAAATTTGTATACAGTATTTTTTTTTTTTTAGCTGCAGATGCATCAAGCTTAAAGAAATGCTGTTATTACATTTCAGGCAATAAGAGTTTTATTATTAATTTTAAAAAGTAATTGAATAGGCTAACTCCTTCCAGCCAGAAATAATAAACATTTCCCAGAATCCCATGTTCATCAGAGAGTCAGAAGTTATTCCCTCCACTTTGACTCGTTTTCCGGGACGCCCCTGGGAGCGATGTTCAGAAACTAACAGTCCAGGGTAGCGGTGTTGGTTGTGGCAGCAAGAAATCAGCTGTCTTGTTTAATTTGTGCCTGCTTTTAAAAATCAGCAGAGCTGTGATTTATTGTTGCATTTAAGCCGTTTCAGAAGCAGCAGCCATGCCAGCAGCTCTGTAAAGTCGATCAGTGCAACAATATAAACCAACCCTCTCCCTGGCAGAGCTGGAGTTCCCTTTTGGTTTTGGTTCAGATGATGAAACAAAGTTGGGGGATATATTATGACCTTTAGTTTTGGGCTAACAAGTTTACATGACAGTCACTATAACTAGCAGGAATATAAGTTTTCTGCATCATATGCGTTTGTTTTTCTTTTCTTTGGTGCAGAATGCAGAAGTTTCTGTGTTTGAGGTGAACATCAGGTTTGTTGGAGGTCTGCTGTCTGCCTACTACCTGTCTGGGAAAGAGGTAAGGAGATTCATTCACTGTTTTTCATGCTGTTTCTGCACTGCAAAAACACTAAATCTTACCAAGTATGTTTGGTCTAGTTTCTGGGGCAAATATCTTAGTTTTATCTTATTTCAAATGTACTCACTTACAAATAACATTTAGGCAAGATATAGGAGCTTGTTTTAAGTAAAAAATTATTTAATATTGATTTTAAAAAAAGTGCTGTTGCATTGACATGTTATAAATGAAATAATCTGCCAGTGGAACTCAAACTGGGTTGCTAGGTGACGTGCTGGGCTTGGCTGGCGTTGCTAGGTGACGTGCTGGGCTTGGCTGGCGTTGCTAGGTGACGGGCTGGGCTTGGCTGGCGTTGCTAGGTAACGGTGCCAGCAGAAGTAATACTTTTCCATCAATTTTAAAGAATTACTTACTTAAAACAAGCTCCTATCTTGCTGATAATAATAAGTGAGTTATTTTTGCCTTATTTTAAGTGTCGTGAGATATTTGCAGTAGAAATTAGATCACAGATGCTTGGTATTTTTTGGAAGTTGGGATGTTCCTTTGGCCTTTAGAGGTAAAACATTTCCTGGAATGTAAGATTGCTGATGGAATATTTCACCAGAGTCACTTTATATCCCAACTAATTCAGGTTTTGAGTCTAGAGAGAGATTCTTTCAGTGAATTTCATGTGAAAGACTTTACTATGTTGCTATGAGATTTTTACCTGCAGTGCTGAGTCAGTGTGGGAATTAGGTGGTAATTTTTCCTAATATGAGTAATTATATGATTCAACAGACTCCCTAACTGCCTGAAAACCTCTGGGAGGAAAAGTCTCCAAATTTCACTTTAGAACGAGGCCATTTGATGGCGTTCCATCTGTACATCCATTTGTACATCCATCCATCTGTACATCCATCTGTACATTCATCCATCCATCCATCCATCCATCTGTACATCCATCTGTACATTCATCCATCCATTTGTACATCCATCCATCTGTACATCCATCTGTACATCCATCCATTTGTACATCCATCCATCCATCTGTACATTCATCCATCCATCCATCCATCTGTACATCCATCTGTACATTCATCCATC